CTTTCCCTCTAACCTCTCCATCCTGCTAATTTACTTTATTGCATAGGGTTACCATTGCTCCATCCCTGACAGGCAATTCATCTCTGCCAGTGCTACTCCAGCTGATGATTTCCTTTTTCTTCCAGCAGCTCCAGTTCCGTGTTACTCCTAAATAAATGTCCCTCACTTGCTGCAACTGGCATGTCTCCTTCCCTCTGTAAAGCTTTCAGAAATCCTTCAGATTGATCTGGCCACTATAAGGAGATACTCTGTATGATGCGCAGTTTATTCCTGGTATCATTGCCTTCACAGATGTCTTTTAGAAACATCTATGTAATTAAGTTTTTTCCTTAACATGATCATTATCATAATATAAAAAATGTTATTCAGAACATCTCTATTTATAATAAAGATAATGTTATTGTTTACAGGTTGCTCATGCTAAAATTCAGAGTCTGGAATCCAGTGTGGAGACTATTTTGGCTCGAGAGAACAAAATGAAGACTGCAATTCAGTCCCTGGAACAGGAGAAGATAACATATCAAAAGACTCTTGAGCAGATAATGAAGTATTTGCCAACAGAAGCGTTGTCTGACTGTGAACTGCTCCTGAAGGAAGTAAACTACAATCCAAATAATAAAATAAAATAAGGAGTAAGCCATAAGCCAGGGTTTTCTAAGCAGCATTTCTTCAGAAAAGGAAAAGAAAAGATGAGTATGCTGCTTTCAAAGGACTTAGCAATAGGCAACGGTATTATCTAAAACTAGTGCTGGGACACTCATAGCTACAGATGGGCCTTCAAATGTCAGTATGCAAATTTGGGCTATTAATTTTTTTATGATTCTGTAAATAAATCACAAGGGGGAAATAAAGGATTCTCACATGTAATTATGATGAGTAGATGTATATTTAGAGTTGACCTAAAGGAAAAGAGAAATTTCAGTAGTCGAAGCCAAGATAATAGTGATCTACAAATTCACCATGGATGTGCTTGCCTTGTAGTTGAAAGGAGGATAACGTGTCTTTATACATATGTATGTTGAATAATACTTGAAGAAAAAAAAGAAGAATGTAATTTTCCCTCCAAAGAGCAGCATGTTTCACATCTTCTGCGGAAAATCTGTGTGAACTGATGCGTGCCTCTCTTTTAATTCTACTGACATTGTGTGCACAGACTAATAAGCAGAATAAATATCATGACTTGGTGCATACAGAAAGAGCTCTAGTGCTGTCCACTGCCTAGGCTGTACCGGTCAGCAATGTAATTCCACATGCATGTCGGAACTGGAAACAAAAAGCATCACGTCATAGCTCCGCCTCCATAGCTCAGAGCTAAGAAGTAGTTACCTATACACACTCGCAGAACTTGCAAAGGCGAGAGCTAACGGTGGCTCCCACTTTCTTCCTGGCCTGTTTGCTTCCACCTGTCCTGGAGTTGGTCATGATGACAGGAGGAAGGAAGCAAGGCTTGTAGGGTGGTATTTATGCTAATGTTAATTTTCCACAGGAGACTTGCTGTTATAAGAGTTAGGCACGTAAGAGGTTCTCATTTAACCAAAGAAATAGTGCAAGAAGCCTTGTTTTATCATAGTGGGAGCCAGAAAGCTGTTCTTAAATTTTATCTAAAGAGAAACTTGAGGCAGGTTGCTGGAAGTTGAGCATAAATGCACAAGAGAGGACCAAGCAAGTTTCTAATATGATGTACCTTTCAGTTTTCACGTACTCAGTGGATATACATTTCAAAGGGGATTCTGAAGTACAAGTGCAGTTTTAATAATGCTTTCCAGGTTATTCCTGTTTTAATACTGCTTTGTGGTCTTCTTTTTAAAAGAAAAGTCATGAATTTGTGTGTTCTGGGCAGAAGGTGAGGTAAGCTCTGATCATTTCAAGGGAGAAAATATGTTTATAAAGATATAAAAAGATGCATATAGATTTGAAAATGGTTTTGAGTGGAATTTTTGAGAAGGCTTAGACAAATGTGTAATAGACACGTATTTTGGAGTGCATGTCTGAACCGTTAAATTGAGTGTTACAGTGACTCATGTTATCTTTTACCATTTATACTGTATTTCAGGAAACACTTATTCTTTTTAGTAAGACGAACAACTAAGCAAAGTGCCAAATCCAGCAGTGTCTTTATGCATAAGATTGTCTAATTTGGAAAGCAAGTATTGAATATCACTCCTTTCTAAATATTATGCTTTATGTTAACATAAAAGTGAGGAACAACAGTGCTGATTTGCTGCACGCTGCTGTGGAACTCCAGGGGCTTGGGGTCTCCTGGGTTTTTTTGTTGTCGTCATTTTTTACTTCCATGGTGTTTTATTTGATTAAAGATGTTGATTTACTTAACAGTCTTTCTTTTTACAGTTGGGGTGCAAGGTCTTAACACTGTGTATAAAATTATGTGGAATCTGTCTAGATATTTCAAGAATATTGTATTGTAGTAGGTGGGAAAATGCCAAGTGAAAAGGCAGTTCTTCGCAGTTTTGTCAAGAGTAAGTTTTAGCTTATGTGTACACACAAAACCAATCCCAGGAACTGCAGTAGTGTGTATTACAAAGAATCAAGATTATTCAGATACATCTTTTTCTTAAGATGCACTGAATGTGCTTTATCTTCTGTTTCACTTACAAAATTTTTCATGTAATGCCTGGAGAAATTCCAATAAATGTCATTGCTGCATTTCCCATGGCTTCTGGCTAGTTTTATTTTTCTACACTTCAAGTACCAATCTCATTCTCAACAGTACTGTTTACATGAAAGATGAAAAAGATCTGTTTGTTTTCTAGTTGCGGGGAAAAAAAACCCCACAGGATTTGTAGAAGGACTCGGGGAGCATGGAAATTCTTATCGGGGAAAATAGTCTTGCATTGTTCTTAATTGAAGATGAAATGATTAAAAGGTGTTTTTCTTCTGTAGCAGTTTGTTTAGTAGAATCATAGAATGATTTGGGTTGGAAGGGACCTCAGAGATCATTTATTTCTAACCCCCCTGCCACAGGCAGGGAAACCCTCCACTACACCAGGTTGCCCAAAGCCTCATCCAATCTGGCCTTGAGCACTTCCAGGGATGGGGCATCTACAACTTCTCTGGGCAACCTGTTCCACTGCCTCATCACCCTCTGAGTGAAAAATTTCTTCCTTATATCTAATCTAAATCTGCCCTCTTTCAGTTTAAAGCCATTGCCCCTTGTCCTATCACTACATGCCCTTGTAAAAGGTCCCTCTCCAGCCTTCCTGTAGGCCCCCTTTAAGTACTGGAAGGCTGCAGTAAGATCACCCCAGAGCCTTCTCTTCTGCAGGCTGAACAGCCCCAACTCTCTCAGCCTGTCTTCATAGCAGAGGTGCTCCAGCCCTCGGATCATCTTCGTGGCCCTCCTCTGGACCCTCTCCAGCAGCACCATGTCCTTCTTGTGTTGGGGCATAGTAGTATTGTGCAAGTACTGCTTGGGGCAAGTAGTACTTGTGCATGTTGAGAATAGTAGCTTGAACTCTACACTGTTATGTCTACCTTGGAAGGAAGAGGAGTACACCATACCAACAAGTAGGCATAAACTACAGAAGTAAAAACTACAAGGTAACATTAGGACATTTGTGATAGCATTTGTATTCTGAACACAAGTGTGGCTTGTAACTGGGTATCTCTAGGGTGTCTAGCTTGAAGTGTGCACTCAAGCAGGTGTGCTCCAGGCCATCTTCAGATGATTAACCAGCAAGATGATGTAGAAGACTGTGAACAGTGTTTGTGTCCATCTGTTTGTCTCTCCCTGTCTGTGGTATAGATAGCTTTATACCTGTTCTGTTCTGGTTGCAGTTGTGCAACTGTGAAAAGGGAAGTCTAAGGTGCAGCGGGCCAGAGACAGAGCTGCAAGGATATTTGCTTGGGTGAAGGGACAGTTCCTGGATTTGGACAAATGGCTCTGCCGTTGCTATATCTTGTTTTTCTGTTTGGAAAAAAAGTTTTCAGAATACAACTATTGTTCTGTCTGAGCTAAGCACAACAGCGCTCCCAGTTTTTGCAGTCAACTTGCGGAGGATTAACTCAGGAGAAAAAAGTATTTCCTGTTTTCAGGAACAGCTAACTTAGACTCATTTCTGCTGGCAAAGGGCTTTTTTAAAAGTCTGGGAAGAGATCCATCGTTTTAGCTAGCAAACTAGCTTGTAAATGAAGAGCATTACTTGCCAGGAATACAGTTGAAATAGATCGTTTTAGCTAGCAAACTAGCTTGTAAATGTCAGTCTGGTAAGGAGGGCTAATGTAGGGAACTCTGATATTCACATCTTTTATGGATGGAAAACTTGGCCAGAAAGTGGTGATTGTTTTCTTCTCTCCTAAAAAGGAGAGTATGTATTCCGTTCTGAAAAAGATGAATATTTATTTAAGGTGCCTTTAAGTTACATTTTGTTCACTTTTCTCTAAAAAAGCATTAGATTTTACTGAAAAATGGGTCTCCTGATAAATGACATGTTCCAGTTGAAAACCTGACTTGAAATCACAAATCTAGCCAATCTCGATTATGCCTTCTTCAACATGACACTGCTCTGCTCAACATTACTATAAGAAAGCTGAACAATTTGTAACATAGGAAAGAATTTCAGCAGTTTGGTCCAAGAATTTTATATTGCTAATATGATCCAGAGGGTCTACGTTTGGACACCACTTTATCTAAATCTAAACCCACATGGGTATCAGCGTGAATAGTCTTTTGTGTGTTGAGGTGAATAATCCCAGGCACTGTTAATAGTGATTATCCCCTCAGTCTTTGTAGTCATAGATGGGTGTTGACAGGCATGTGCAGGCCTTAACGTTTCAAGCTTTGTGCCAGACTACGTCATCCATTTGAAGAATTGTAATTGATTCTGTATTCTTGTAGTTCAGCTTTTGCTGTTGTTAGTTATTGAACACATTTAACGTATGCTTTGCCTTCCTCAGTCTTTCCTGTGACTAGAAAGAACGAAATATAACTTTTCTTTTCCAAAAAGGCATATTGAATGCTTAGCTATATCCTTCCTCCAGACATCTGTTGTGCAAGGGATAGAGTTTATATGCTTAAAGTCTAATGCATGAGCTCACTCTGAAAATGTATTAAACTCAGCGGTGACAGTAAAAATCTGGGGAGTAAAGCAAGAGGTCACTCTGTGCCTTGAGCAGCTAATGGGTTGTGTGCTGACTGACTTGTGATGAAGTGGGATCTGGGCAGGTTGGCACTTGGATGTTGTTTGGTTTTGTTTTAATGCTGACCTTAATGCTGGACCAAAGGAAGGAGCTGGTGCTGCTCCTTTACCAAAATGTTGTGTTGCTGTTTCATTTTAGTTGAGAAGGTTTTCCATTCCTTTACTATTCTCTTCGGAACTCTTGCTCAGCAACCACTTTTCAACAAGGGAATTGGAAATTGTTGTTCATAGTCTTGCCATCAGAAAAAACTTATCTTGCAGCTTATCCAAACTGTTCCTGTGCTCAAACGACAACTTATTCAAGTCTTCACTCTGATAAAAGTTAGATGGTTTTAATATATTTACTTTATTTCTGGTTAGAGTGTGTGCTGAGAAATGACGTAAGTGTCTTACATCATGCCCTGCTGGAATGTACATGGGGATACCTATGAAGTGAGCCCTCAAAGTGGGGCTGCACCAGTGCAGTGTAAAGCAGGACAATCACCTCTCTCAACTGGCTGGCTATGCTGTGCATGATGCTCTCCAGGACATGGCTGGCCCTTTTGGCTGCCAAGGTGCACTGTTGACTCATATTCAA